AAGTTCACTTAGGGGAACTGTAAAGATCAAGGCATGCACACCTGCACGTGACTGCACACTCTGGTGTGTGTGTGTGTGTGTGTGTGTGTGTGTGGGTGGGTGTGGGTGTGGGTGTGTGTGTTCTCAGCCATTGACTTTCAAATCCTCTCCCAATAGATTGGGCAAAATGGAGCTGATTCCTTGTTAATTCTTCCCTTAACTGTGCAACCTCAGCCAGTTTCTGTTTTCTATAGGCTTTAGTTGGAGCTTGGGTACACTGTAATAGAAAACATTGTAATTTCTTTCCATTCCTAAAACTAAGTGGTTTGAATCACAGTTTGTAAATGATTTTAGATTTCCCCTGTAGCTATTTTTATGTCACTATTGTCAAACCAATAATCTCTTGCCAGATTACCTCTCTAATGTCATCACTTTTCAGTAAAACAGGGACTGTGGATCAGCCACAGTAATGGAATGGACACACTATGTGTTATGTTTGCAGCCTGCAGTCAGCAAATGCCTGTGGCCAGTCCTCCTCGGTGGTTCATTCCTGAGAAAAGCAGAAGCCACTTTATGCACTCGTTATTAGCCAAAATTAACTTGGAGATGACTTCAGCAATGCTTCAAGCATGGCCAGGCATGTGACCCATGAGTTTCTTCGGCCTTCAGAGCTGTTTGAAACCACTTTTTGATATAGAAGAGCTAACCAGGAATACTGCCTCTGCTTGCCTAAGGTTTTATCAAATATGTCTCAGGCAACTCCAGGACATCAGCATCCTGGTAACTTGGGCGAGGAAAAAAAACATGGTGGTTGCAAAGACGAGGCTCTCCACACCAAGCCAAGCCCAGCTACCACAAAGCCATCACAGTGCCTTTGAACCTGAGTCACCCAGCAAACCCATCACAAATCACCTTACTTTTAATCCATTGCTCCAAGGTGAGAGATTTATCAGTGAGTGGAAAACAGAGTCCAGAAAATTCTTTGGGAAAAACACACTAACTCAAAAATGTATCTGAATGCCTACAGTGTGCCATAATAAGAGATACAGCACACATCACTCATGAGGCATTGCATTCTAGTTAATTAAACACTGCTAGAAAATGAAGTCTGTCAATTAAGCTTTGCTTAAGTTTTGTATATTTTAGTTTGTTTGACACTAGGTCTTACTATGAAGTTCAAGCTGGCTTGGAACTTAAGATTCTCCTGCCTCATTGTCCCAAATGCTAGGATTAAAAGTGTACATCACCGCAATTTTCTTAAAATGCAGCATTGTCAAGTCGTGGGAAACCTCCAGGTATACAAAACTGTAATTTAGCTTTCCAGATCACAATGAGAGTATGTTGTTAGCATTTATATTTACCTTTGCCAAAGTAGGAGGATTAGTGTGTCTTATTTTATAACAACTATTCAGGCCAATGGCATAGGAGTTCCCACTTGTGCTCTGGTCTCAGGGAACTAGGATTGTGTTCATGGGAGGGTTCAGGTTTAGTTGCTTAATTTTGGCACCCAAACTTGTAGGTTTAAGATAATAGAGTAGACCTCTGAAAATGTAAGCCAACTAATTGAATGTTTTCCTTCCATCATTTGGGACTTGGGGATCAGACTCAGGTAGTTAAGCTTGGTGACAAGTGCCTTCACTGGCTGAGCCATCTTCCTGACCTGCCAATGCATGTAACGAGTCTTTCTTGTTGGACTTTTTTTTTTTTTTTTTTTTTTTTTTTTTGGACCAGCAGTCCCCAAATAATGACACACACACTTCTTATTAATTATGCATATTTGACCTTAGGTGTCAACTAGGTCAGCTAGGTTCCCAACTAGGTCTTAGAACCTAGATTAACCTATTTATATTAATCTACATTCTGCCATGTGGCTCCTTACCCTCCTCCATACCGTAGGTCCTACTCTCTCTACATTGCTCTTGCTCAATTCTGCAGGCCTCAGAATCTTCCTGAGTTCCCTTCTCTCCCCCTGGAAGTCCCACCTATTCTCTCCTGCCTAGCTATTGGCCATTCAGCTCTTTATTAAACCAATCAGAAGATGCCTTAGGCAGACACATCTTCACAGTGTACAAAAAGATCATCTCACAGCAAATGCATCTGATCTGCACTCGAGTCCTCCACTAGTTTCCTTTTCTCTGCCTAGGGGCTTCTCAGTGTGACCTGGCTTGTTCCCAGGATGTATTTGTCTGCACCAACCATAAGGAACAATAAATCTGCCACCATCAACTGTTCTTGCTCATTTTTTGATGCATATGGGATTATACTTCTTCCTCAAAAGGAAGCTAATCTCCAGAAGGGTCTGCACCCCTTCCAAGTGGATCCCTGACATGTCTAAACAGGTTTGAGGTTTCAGTCCTTGGTACCAAAGCTAAGGTTGCTAGAAGAGAGAATTAAGATTCTGAACCATCTTTAGAAGATGTCAAAGGCAAAAGATGAGGGAAACCAGGTCTAGAGAGCAGAGTTAGATCAAAGTCAGCTTACAGGGCCAGAGCTGAAAAGGTGGAGGGTGATGTGACAATGTGGGTTGGTGCTGGGTTTGCTTCTGTGGTCTCACAAGATGGCACATGGCTGGTGTCCTGGGAGAATTTGTTTCTTTCATTCTTTACTCCTGGTCATAGACTCTGGTCTCATTTCTGCTCTCCTCCATCACACTGGCACCCTATATGATCTGCCCGGACCATTTCTTCTTGATTACCTGAGAACTCTTCAACCAACATCTTTAACCACCTGGACTTCAGCTTGCTTTAAAGAACACCGCATAGAAGACAAAATTTAAATTTACATCACAAGTTGTTGGCATGAGTCCCTCAGCCAAGGATGCTTGGAGACAAATAATCAAACTGCCCCGTATCACACCGACTCACGGGAAGATCTGCCCTAGATACTTCTTGCTGTGTACTCTGATCCACCCTACTCCCAAGAAAGAGTACAGTCATCACATCTCCAGGGTATTTCAACACCGTGTCACAACCCCACACCTGATTCTCCACCTGGTGGGGAGCAACTCCTCAAAGACCACCACCCTGTGTGCTGTATATGCTGTCTTAAAACGATACACAGAGAGTAGACTAAAAGATGTGATTGATAGGCTTTTTTTTTTTTTTAAATATTTTGAATTGGGTCAACGAATACTAACATCATTAAAATGTTATGGTTTTGAAGGAAAACATAAGATCAATCTGTAGTTACCCTCCTTGCCACTCAACTCATCTCTCGCTGTAGAAGTTTTGCTGGTACACATCCAAAGTAGCGGCGAAGTCACTGGTCCACTGGTGATAATTTGTTTAATTTTGTTTGTTTGTTTGAAGCAGGGTCTTACTATGTAGCCCAAATTGGCCTCAGCTTACTAAGTGCCAGGATTATAGGTGTGTGCCACCATACCCAGCTGGAGGATCTGTAATGGAGAAGAAGAAATCAACCACTAGCATTGCTATTAGAGGACCAAAGGTGTGTTGGGGTGCCCAAGATGCTACTGTTGATGCTATGTAAGGGTAGCAACAGTGGGGGATGGGAAAGGAGGAAGATGACTTGTGAGTAAAGGTGCTGCCACCACGCCTGATGACCTGAGATCAATCCCCAGGGACCCAGGTGGTGGCAGAAGAAAAGAGACCCACTCAAGTTGTCCTCTGACCTTCACGCACGTGATGGCACGTGCACCCATCCACCCACACATTAAAATACACATGCAAATAAATAAATAAATAAATATTTTTAAAAGTGCAACATGGGCTTTTACGGACTGGAATGGGAGCTAAGCTTTCACTTTGGGCCCCTACTGCCACCTTCCAAATCTTTTGGAGGATATCTCGCTCATACTTTTGAGGCAGCTTCCGGTGGACACACACACACACCTCTCTTAAAACTCTTTGTAGGGCTAGGATGTAACCCAGTTGGTAGAGGGCTTGCTTAGCTTGTGTAAAGCCCTGGTTTCTGTCTACCTCCAGCACCACAGAACCCTAAGTGATTCAGTACAAGCCTGTAATCTGGCACTTGGGACATGGACACAGGAGGATCAGAAGTTGAAGGGCATCCTTGGCTACAGAACAAGTCCAAGGCCAGACTAAGATATACAAGACCTTGTCTCAAAAACAAACAGCCTCTTTGTATAAAAGAATACCATTTTGCTGACATAGCATCTGTTATTATCTACAGCAAACTATCACCTTCCAAGAGAACCCCCCCCCAGAAAACATTTCCCTGCGGTATTTAGTATTATTTCAAAAGCCCCAAACACGAGGATTTTTACGCTTGCTTATAAATAAATAAATAAATAAATAAATAAATAAATAAAACATACAGAGGATCAGTACTTCACCCCAAATTTCCTCCTCTTCCTTTCCTTAATTGCAGCATTAAGGAGCCCTTACATGGGTCAAGGTTATGCTTCAGTGCAAGATATGTTTACAGAGCTCTAGAAGGACAAGAGAGCTGTTTATTGAGTAGACAGCGTTTCACTCCCATTTCAAAGTGCACAGAGAAAGCTGTCATCACAAAGCATGTTAGGCAGCACAGATTACCACACAGCAAACAAAACCATTCCCGCCATGAACGTGCTGGGGCGACATCTCCTAACTAACAAAAGCGTCTATCTGTCCATGCCACTAGCAAGCAGTGGTTCTACAGGCTTTGCTCACATCATCACTCAGGGATGTAGCCTTGTACCTGTGGAGGAGGAAACACTGACATCAATTTACAAAAAAAGAAAGACAGACAGACAGGCAGATAGATTGTCATGTAGCCCAAGCTTCAAACTAGGTAGCTGTAGATAGCATTGAACTCCAGACCTTCCCGAGTGCTGGGGTTATTGGCATACACTACCAACTAGGCAGCCTTTGCCTTATAAGGAAAGAGCTCAACAGTTTTGCCTGTTCAAGTCTTGGCATTGTTAGCAACTCATCTACTCTGCCATTGGGTGAGCTCCCAGATGATACCAACACAAAACCCTCTTTCTCCTGAAAACTCCATGGACATACCTTCCCTTTCTTTGAACACTTAACCAGTTAGCTACTTGTAGGGAGAGCATACCTAAGACTTGTTTACTTTTTTTTTTTTAACACCTGGCATCATATTTAAGAGCAAGGAGTCAGAACTGAGTTTAATCGTGACTGTCCCAGTAACTTTGCCTTGAAGAAATCATATTAAATCCCCTGGATCTGATTTTTCATCTCTAAAATGGGACTAATAATAGAAATTACATTTCTGTGTGTTAAGGGGCAAATGAGCTTAAGATTTGCAAATTTCTAAACATCGGGAATAGGTATCCACTAAATGACAAATGACAAATTAGTCTTTTATAACTGCCTCACATCCAGTACTCTGTCAGGTGGTTAGCATTATTCCTGCCTGGGTGGATGAGTGATGGTGACTCATCCAGGGTGCAATTCCCCCCTGATGATACCAGGCCTGGGATGCCCATCACCCTCCGTTACCCTCCATCACTTTAAAGACTTTTATAGAGTGGGATGCAGTATCCAGCACAAGAAGAGAATTCTCCTTGGTGAAGGCCAGGGCCACAGGACGAGAAAGACCATGAGAGACCATGGGCTTTAGGGCTGGAAACTCCTCAGGTTTCCCCAAGCATATGATGGCTGGCCCAGAGGTGTCTGCTACAATCACATTTCCCTGGTGATCAAAGGCCACAGCGGAGACAGTTATTTTAGAAGGAAAGAGGAGGTTCAGCCCGAAGCTATCCACCTGGCCAATCAGCTGCATGGCGGGGCTGAATACCTTCACCCTTGTGTTGTCACCCGCTGTCCCCAAGGGCCAGGGGTGTTCTAGGATCGCGACAGCTCCGGTAAGCCAAGACACAGCCACCCCACGGGGATTGCAAAGCTGAGCTTGCAACCTCTCGGTCCTCCGAAGGACCCCTTCAGGGAAATCCACTTCCAGGAGGTGCAAGGTCCCTGCCTCTGCATCAGTCACCAGGACCTGGTTCTGAGGGGTGATTTCCACACCCCAAGGCAGGGAAAACTGCTTTCCCACAACCAGCTTGATTTGGCCAAAGAAATCAAACACTTTGAGGGAGTGGTCGCCAGCGTCGGTGACAACCACGTGGCAGTTGTTGGTGACGGCGACATCCAGTGGGTACTTCACGTCATGCGCTGCGTCCCCCTTCTCTCCAAACTGGTGTGCACCTCCTCCTCCGGAATCAAAGATCTTGACCCGCCTCTTACCGTCGTGCACGACTACGACCCGTCCGGTCTTGGGGCACAGTGCAAGCCCTGTGGGATTCACCAGGGTCCCCCACCCGCCGAAGGCGTGATGACAGGTGAACACCCCGGGCGCGCAGGGGGCGGCGCTGTGGGCGGCCGGGGACGCGTGAAGAGTGGAGCCCAGGAGCTCCAGAAGGTGCAACACCGGCAGACAATCGCTGGTGTCACAGGCTCGGCAGGCCCGCCGGCAGAAGGGACATTCGAGGGCCAGCGATCGCGGGTGCGCGAGAGCGGCCACGCAGGCCAAGCAGACCACGTGGCCACAGGGCAGGTTGCGCGGGCGCCGCTGCTGCCGGTGGCCGAACCTCTCGAAGCACACCTTGCACTCCAGCAGGCTGACCTCGGCCTCGCGCACCAGCTCCGGCCGCACCCCTGCCGCTTCCTCCCCCATCGCTCCTGCCGCGCCGCTGCCCTCGCGCAGCCCTCGGTCACGGTCACGGGGCGGGGCATCGGCTCTGACGTGAGACTCAGCGCCTGGCCCGGGACCCGCTGCTGCTCCCTGGCGGGCACAAGCCGCCGCTGTCGTTCGCATGCGCTGTGCGCAAACCCGGAATCATCACGTCACGTCACGGGTGAGAGATGCCGGCTTTCCGCTCCCTGTAAGCCTGGAAGTGGCAAGGCGAGCACCAGAACCTAGTCTCCCAATGCTGAGACCCAGCAGAGCTGCCAATCAGCTGCGCTGGGTGCTGGTTACCAGGGCTGGGCAGGAATAAGACAGGCTCCTAGTATATGGGTGGACTAAGGAGAGCGATACAGGAAGGAAGATAACTTCAAGGGGGTGAGGCAGGTGTGCATACTTCCGTGTGCTTTATCACTCTTGTGAGAAGGTAGACCACCTTACACTCGCAGCTCCTCTGGGTATGGTAGCTGAAATCCCAGCACCGAGGAGGCAGAAACTAGTGGGTAGAAGCCAGCCTCGACTACTCCGATACTCCCCCCCCCCCGAAAACACACACACACACACACACATACGTGTGAAGTGGGTTTGTTTGGAAGGAATATTTAAAAGCTGTTAGTTGCCTCGAATGGTGGCCTACATAGTGAGTTCCAGGCCAGACAGAGCTATGTGGTGAGAACCTGTCTCAAGCAAACGAACGAGCAACTACGACAACAAAACTGCTAATAGCAATATCTATAGAATTTACTCCATATCTGCCTTCTTTGAAGTGGTCTCATGCATTGTTTTACTCAAGCCCCACGGACAATTGGAATGTGGCTTAGATGGAGAATGGGTAGGCAATGAATGGAAGCCAGGCAGTTTGACTACAGGACCTCTCTCTCGCACTGGTCATCAAATACTGTTCTATATGACAAATGCTTGAGTGTCCTTGGCAAAGGCCTAACGGTCTCGGGTGAGGGCTGGGCTGCAGGGTGCCGCGAAGGGGATTATAATGTACATGTAAATTTGAGCCAGTGATCCCTTCACAGTGTCTTCCAGACCGAGGTGAAGGGGATTATAATGTACATGTAAATTTGAGCCAGTGATCCCTTCACAGTGTCTTCCAGACCGAGGTAAGATTGAAAGTAAAAGGACTGAAGAGATGGCTCTGTGGTAAAGAGCGCTTGCTGCTCTTGTAGAGGACATGAGTTCAGTTCCCAGCACCCACATTGGGTGGTTCACAACCACCTGGAATTCCAGCTCCGGGAAATCCAGTGTCCCCTTCTTGTCTCCATGTACTTGCACGCATGTGGCACACATTCACACAAACATACACACATGCATATAAATAATTACAAGAAATATTTAAAAATTGAAAGTAAAGACAATCTACATATCTAGGAACAACCTTAAAGTTATGGTCACTACAATCTCCGGGAATCCATGACGATGTTCAGATCTTAGTGTTTACTTTATTATTCCTGCTCATTTACAAGTTGGGATCATGATTGTTCATGCTCTTGTTCCATGGACTTTCAAGAAAATGGAGGACTCAGTCCTTTGCTAACATGGCCCGGGAGAGTCTATGGAAGGCAAAGGAAAACATTTTATCAAGAGTTACACAGCTCAGAGATTGAGATTATACCAGAATAACCAAGCTGATGCTATGGTTTCAGAGTGCAAAATCTCCAGTCTAAGAAACGAAGTAAAGATTCATTTTTATTTGTGTGTGTGTGTGTGCACGGGTCTGTGTGTGAGCCCTTGGAGTTCAGACGAGGGTGGTAGATATCTGGGAGCTGAAATTATAGGCAGTTGTGAGCCACTTGATGTGGGGGTGGTGGGTTCCAAATGCAGGACCTCAGGTCTGAGTGACAAAGTGTTTTTAACTACTGAGCAATCTCTCCAGCTCCTCAGAAGTAATAAAAAATATTTTATATATATAAGTGTTTTCTCTACATTATGTATATGTACCAGATGCATGCCTGGCTGCAGTAGGACTGTGGTTATGGATAGCTGTGAGCCACTACATGGGAATCAAACCCAGGTCTTCTGCAAGAGCTACAAGTGCATCTCACTGTTGAGCCTTCTCCAGCTCCTCAGAAATAATTTTTAAATTGGGAAATACATTCAGGATACAAAAACTGAACTATTTTTAGAGCCAGTCTTGTCCAACAGAAATATAATGAGACCCAGGTTTTAAAATAATTTCCTTGTAACTCCATTTTTAAAAGTTAAGAGAAAATGAAATTAATTTAGTTGTATACTTTAATCCATCATTTGGACTTGTAATTACTTTGAAAGTATGAAAAAGGTATTTTGTACTCATTTCATGTGCTAAGCAAAATCTGGTTTGTTTTGAACTCATGGTGCACCCAATTCAGAGAAGCTAATGTGGCTGGTGGCTCCCACATACAGCCTGACAAACGCAGGCCTGGTCTTGCTATGAGATGTTAGCTTTTGAAAGCACTCCCCAGACAGACCTCACTGAATCACTTACTTGTGTCTAATTGACCCCAATTCTGCTGACCATGGCCAAGCTTGTTCCCCCAGAAAGAGCCACCTGCTTGAGCCCTCTACCTTTTCTGCCTTCTCAGACCTTTGCTGCCTCTGTGCGGTCACTGGCAGTACTACACCATAGGCATGTTAGCCCCAAGCTGGGCAGCTTTGCAGCATGGAACACACAGTCTACTCCAGGGGGTTACTATCAAGCACCTAACATTGAGTTTGATTTTTGTTTTGGTTTGTTTGAGGCAGGGTCTCATGTAGCTCATGCTGCATTCACACTGGTCATGGGGCTGAAACTGACCTTAAGCTCATGATCCTCTACCACCCCAGCGCAAATAGTAAATAGTAAATACCAAAATAGTAAATTAAAAGTATGACATTCGGTATTGGGGCTTCTGGAATGGTGAAATGGGGGACCAGAACACAGGTGGCCCCTGTGTGTCTCCGTTTCTCATCTCTGTGGTACCCATGACAACGAGAGAGATCCTGCTGTACCCATTCACATTTAACCTCTGAACAGATTTGAGCTTAAAAAAAAAAAAAAAAAAAAAAAAAAAAAAAACTCTAAAGAGAATTGGATTGAGTTTTTAAAAGTTAATCTTGTACCCTGCTAATTTGCTGAAGGTGTTTATCAGCTGTAGGAGTTCCCTGGTAGAGTTTTTTTTCGGATCACTTATGTAAACTATCATATCATCTGCAATAGTGACAGTTTGACTTCTTCTTTTCCAATTTGTATCCCTTGATCTCCTTTTGTTTTCTTATTGCTTCAGCTAGAACTTCAAGTACAATACTGAAGAGATATGGAGAGAGAGGGCAGCCTTGTCTTGTTTCTGATTTTTAGAGGAATCGCCTTTAGCTTCTCTCCATTTAGTTTGATGTTGGCTCCTGAGCATATTGGGAGTGGGGGGGTGCAGTGAGTGGAGAGGGAGTTAGGAGAAAGAATGAGAGGAGAGGAGAACATGTGGGACCAGGAAGATTGAGTTGGGGGATGAATAGACAAGAGTTAAAAAAAAAAAAAAAAAGACATACCATAATAGAGGGAGCCATTATAGGTTTGAAGAGAAAACTGACTCTAGAGAAATGTTCAGTGACCTACAAGGATAACCATAACTAACACTCTGAGCAACAGTGGAGAGGCTACCTTAAATGCCCTTCTCTGATAATGAGATTGATAACTAACTTATACGCCATCCTAGAGCCCTCATCTAGTAGCTGATGAAAACAGAAGCAGACACCCACAGCTAAGCTCTGAGCTGAACTCCCGGAATCCAGTTGCAGAGAGGGAGGAGTGATGAGCAAAGGGGTCAAGACTAGGCTACAGAAACTCACAGAGACAGCTGGTCTGAACAAAGAGGAGCTCATGGACCCCCCAGACTGATAGCTTAGAAGTCGCATTGGACCTATTCAGACCCCCTGAATGTGGGTCTCAGTTAGAAGGCCTGGGCAGTCTAAGGGACCTCTGACAGTGGAACCAGGATGTATCCCTGGACTTTGGGAGTGCATTCCCCATGGAGGGATACTCCCTTAACCTAGAGGCAGGAGGGAGGGCCTAGTCCATACTCCAAATGACTTGAAAGATTTTGGTGATCCCGCCTGGAAGGCATCACCCTCCCTGTGGAGTGGGGATGGTGGTGGTGGTGGGTGGAATGGGAGAGGGTTCAGGGGGCATGGGAGGGAGAGGGAACTGGGATTGATATGTAAAATTATATATATGAATTGGATTGGCCCAGCTTAGTGGTCCAACACTGTTCATTCAACTGGCTACAAAGGTGAGGTCAGATGCTCATGGCCTCTAGAAATTCACTCTATAGACTGAGGCAGGTTTCAGAGAAGCAAGTCTGATCAGAATACTTGAATAGGTCAGTGGCAGAAGATATCCAAGGACAGCATCCTCAATGCTGTTGGAGAGGACATAAGGTCATCATTGAGTAATGAAGGAGTTCACACAAAGTTTGGTATTTAAAAAATATTTCCCCTGCATGTATATATTTCACTACGTGCATGCCTGATGCCCACCATGGCCAGAAGAATACTGTATCTCCTGGAGGTAATTATAGACAGCAGTGAGCTGCCATGTGGAGGCTGGGAACCAAATCTCCGTCCTCTGGAAGAGCAGCATGTGCTCTTACCCACCAAGCCTTCTCTCCAGCCCTTAGTTTTTAAAAGATAATCTCTAGGGAGAATATACACAACTTCCATCAATATTAATGGTGTTCCCAATAACAACCATAGTACTTGCACAAATATTCCCATATATACACAGTAACCTTTTTTAAAAAATACATATTACTATATTAACATGACATAAAATACAAACCACTTAGATGTTAGGAGGTGTGGAATTACAGATTAACATCTGACTAAAAAAAAATGTGATTGTTAATAAAAACTGACAAATTCTGAGCCTAAGCTTTTACAAAAAAATCAGCCTTGAGCCACTCATCTAAGTAAGACTAAATTAAAAGAAACAACAAATTGCCAGACTTCATAAAAAATATTTCTCACGTGTTTTATTCTTATAGTTTGCCAAAAACACTTTTTCCATATAGATTGGTTTAAATTTTTTTTGTTTCTTAATTCTGCTAAATATAAAATTATACAAGGGGAAAAACAAGTAAAGATGGGGTCCCAGGTCCTAAGTAGATTAAGATTTATAATAAAGTATAATTAAAAAAAATAGACTATGCCAATTCCTATTAAAATCTTACATTTCCTCAGTGATCCTAATTTTCATACATACTATTTTTGTTATTTGTTGTTTAAAGTAACAAGCATTACATTTTTGTTTTTTAGTTATAGAAGAAATAAATGCTGACTATGAAAAAGTCACAGGGTATTTAATATTTTGCTACCAATCACATTCTTCAAAGGATTGATTTGTAACATTTTAATGTGTGATTTCATTTTAAAAGTTATGAGCAAAGATATGTATGTTTCACAAGAAAAATTTCAAGTGATTATATTTTTAAGCCTTAACATAATTTTTAATTTGTTTTGTTTTTGTTTTTCAAGACAGGGTTTCTCTGTGGCTTTGGAGGCTGTCCTGGAACTAGCTCTTGTAGACCAGGCTGGTCTTGAACTCACAGAGACCCGCCTGCCTCTGCCTCCCAAGTGCTGGGATTAAAGGCCTGCACCATTACCACCAGCATTTTTTTTTTTTTTTTTTTTTTACTTTTCTGTAAGGAGATACAATTTTTCAAAAATATAGTCAATTCCCCAGGCTTTATGTCGTTCTTCAAAAGCGTTAGCCTCCTCAAGACAAAGGATGCTGCATTTTGTACCTGAAGTAAGAAAGTAACAAGTTAGAACATTGTGAAGGATGTCTGGGATGCTCTAAAATGCTCTTGAGGATTCTGTGGCTAAAAATCTTCATGGTGTGTGTGTGTGTGTGTGTGTGTGTGTGTGTTGTGTGTTATTTATATGTATGTGTGTTGTGTGTTATTTATATGTATGTGTGTTGTGTGTGTGGAGAGAAAGAGAGACAGACAGATACAGGCTAAATTTGGCATCTTTTGTGTCACTGTGGTGATATATAATTTTTCGTGTTACAACTCTCTACTTTATCTTTTAGACAGGCTCTCTCACTGATCCCAGAGCTCATAATGGGCCAGCTCTGATATCTGCCTGTGCCCCCTCCACTGCAGCTGCTAGGGTCATGGTCATGAGCGACCAGGTCTGGCTCTGATGTGATCCAATCGCAAAGTCTTCATGGTTGCATGTCAGGCACTTCACAGACTATGTTATCTTCCCAGCTCTCCCCTCCTGTTTCTGAGACTTGGGTCTCATGTAAACTAAGCTGGCCTTCAATCTATTATGTAGCTAAGGATGGCCTTGAACTTCTGATCCTTCAACACCTGTCTCCCAAATGCTAGGACTACAGGTAGTGTCTTTATTATAAAGCACACGGATAAAAAGGCACATTATGGAAACTAGTCCCTTTTCTAGGATAAAACAGTCTTCCACAACACAGGTCTCTACTTTTTACATTGTATATACTTTAATTGTATGTACTAATAGTTCACTAGCAACTGAACAGTTAACTGGTTTCTTTTTTGGTTTATTCTTATTTAATTCTATTTTTTTCAGACAGGCTTTTCTCTTTGGTCCAGATTCAGACTGGCCTGGAACTTTCTTTCCTCTTGATTCAGCTACCTGAAATCTGGGATTACAGTTGTGTCTGCCATGCTTGATTTACTGACTTTATTTTAAAAGAACATAATTGGGGCTGGGAGACACCTCATCAGTTAAAGTGCTTACCTCTCTGGCAGAAGACTCAAGTTTGCTCACAACTGCCTATTCCTCCAGTTCCTGGGGCTCTGATGCCTCTGGCCTCTAAATGCATGTGCACATACCCATACAGATACATATATACACATATATAATTAAAATAATAAAAATACATCTTTAAAAAAAAAAACACCATGCCTTTAATCCAAGCACTCAGGAGGCAGAGGCAGGTGGAATTCTGTGAGTTCAAAGCCAGCCTGGTCTACAGTGTGAGTTCTAGGACATCCAGGGCTACACAGAGAAACCCTGTCTCAAAAAACATTGTGTGTGTGTGTGTATGTATGTATGTATATGTATATATGGAAAGAGAGGGAGTGCATAACTTCTAACCCACGGTAGGGCACCTGCCACACCTGCCTGATAACCCGTGTCAATCCCCCAAACCCACACGATGGTAGGGAAGACTGACTTTCTGCAAGCTGTCCTATGACTGCCACATATCTCTCTCTCTCTCTCTCTCTCTCTCTCTCTCTCTCTCTCTCTCTCTCTCTCTCTCTCTCTCACACACACACACACACACACACACATACGCATATCAAAAAGGAATGTTAACTTACCAAATAACTTTTTAAGTTCAGCATCTGGAACATAAAATGGTGGGCCTAAGAAGAAAGAAGTATGGTGAAGAATAGTTTATCATTCCAACTCCAATTCCAAAAGCAAACAAATTCCTGGGGTTCACCTCTCAGCTTCATTTCAGGAATGTTGTAGATACTTATTCTATAAACTATTCAGGAGTCCAGAGAGATGAAGATATAGCACGTCTTTTGTGTGTGTGTGTGTGTGTGTGTGTTAAAGATAGGGTCTTAAGTAGTTCGTGTTGGCTTCAAACTACGTAGCTAAGGGTGACCTTGCACTTGGGACCCTCTGCCTCATCTCTCTAGTACTGAGATTATAGGCATGTGTTGCCATAGCTAGTTTACAAGGTGCTGGGGATCAACCCAGAGTCTTCCTGCATGCTAGGCAAGCACTGTACCAACTGAGCTACATCCCTGGCCCCCTGGCCTGACTTTTGAATATCTCATATCAAAGATCAGAGTGGAGCCCATTGACAGGTTCCTCTGGGGTGTCCTTCACCTTCTAGCCACACAAGCCCACAGCAGGGCAACCACATTTTTTCCTCCTACTCTAGGCTTCTTGAGATACCTCTTGACATTAGGATCATCCATTTCCTCCTTCTATAGTTTGAACTATGACTGATGAGCAAAGCAGGAACAGAGTAAGAAAACAGAGACAATATGGAAGAACACAAAGGTCTACTGTTCCCATTAGCCCAGAATTATCTTCATGCATATAAACAGTGCACATCCTATGAGATAAGATGGGGAAAAATAATTCTAACATGTACACAAAATTGAATCAGGAAAGTAGGCAAACAAACAAACAAAAACACATGTTACCTGCATGCTTCGTTGGATCATAAGAAAGGATAGCCACCAGATAGTGAAACCCTTTTCCCAGTAGGGACATTATTATATCTGCATAGCTAGAAAGAACACAAAAAAGTATGTTTCATTTCTCTATACAGGCAGAGGCAATGAAGGAAGCCAGCATTCACTATAAATTACTATCTGCAGTGAACCATATAAACCTGTGTGGTGGTTGGATGAGAATGCTCCCCCCCCATGGACTCACAGATTTGAATACTGGTCCCCAGCTGGTGGAATTATTTGGGAGGCATTTTAGGGGGTGTGACCTTATTGGAGGAGGTGTGTCACTGGCTTTGAGGTTTCAAAAGTCCATTCCAGGCACAGTTAGGTTCAGAGTGTCTCTCTCTCTCTCTGCCTCTGTCTCTCTCTGTCCCTTCTGCAGATTAGTATGTGAGCTCTTAGCTACTGCTCCAGTGCTATGTCTGTCAACCTGCTTCCGTGTTCCTCACCATGATTATCATAGACTAAGCCTCTGAAACTGTAAGCAAGCCCCCAATTAAATGATTTCTATTAAAAGCTGCCTTGCTCATGGTGTCTCTTCACAGCAACAGAACAGTAAATATGATGACCTGGTTTTTTTGCCCAGGGCTGGCCTCAAATTCACTCTGTAGCTAAGGCTGACCTTGAATTTCTGATCCTCCTGCCTCCACTTCCTAGGTGCTGGGATTATAGACATGCAACACCACATACATTTATGGCATGCTGAGGGTGGGAACATGGGCTTTTGTGCATGCTTTGTGATTGTTATTGATGTGTGTGGATGTTTTATCTGCACGGATGTTTGTGTACCACCACATACAATCAGCTCTGCAGGAGTTCTTCTTTTAAAGATTTATTATTTTAATTATGCATAATTGTGTGTCTGTGGTGTGTGTGCACTGAGTGCTGGTGTGTAGGGAGGCCAGAGATTCTGATGCCCCTGGAGTTGTAGTTATGGGCAATTGTGAGCCTTGTGACATGGGTGCTGGGAGGTGAGCTTAGGTCCTCTGGAAGAGCACTATGTGTTCCTAACTCTTCAGCCATCTCTCCAGGCTCCAGGGGTTCTTATTTAAAAGCAAGAAATGCATGGAACAAATTATGTCCTCTGGCTCCCCATCAAAGCTGGGGCATGGTAAAAAGAAGAATGAAGTTGAAGTCTTCTCCCTGGGTAGGTCAGACGTGAAGACACCACAGGGCACACAGAGGCTGTCAGGGTCCTAAGGGGCCTGGTTGACCTTGTCGGAATGCTTCCTGAGGGACCACTAGTCTACTGTGTGCTCAGGGGCAGGGGCTCCCAGGGCAGGTTGGGTATCAGAAGCACCAACATGCATACTGGAAGGAAAGATGCTTGAGCTCCACCTACAGACTCAGTAGGTCTGCTGTTGGGCTGGGATGCTGATGGTTAACAAGTATCCCATGCGACCAGGACATCCCTAGAGTCATACATGTGAGGTGGAGCAGAGCAGAATCCCTTTCATCTGATCTGAGAGGTGAGACTAGTGTGCAGGTAAGTTTGGGGTGACAATCAAGTCCTGTAAATACAGTGTTAACCACCATTGCTGTGGATGGTCTGTTAGTAGGTGTCCCAAAGAGTGAGTGATACAGCTCCACAGCCATGTGTTGGTTCAGATGTGGGTGTGACTACAATAAAGCACTAGACTGATCAGGAAGCGACCCACCTGGTGGCTCTGCTTGCACACCAAGTTAGTAGAGAGAGGGACTGACCGTCAGCTGTGTTTGCTATAGTGAAAGCTGCAGCATCTGTGCTGAGTGATGCCGAGTGTTGTCAGTGAGTCAGATGTGTGGGAAGAGAAATGGCAGAAGCATGCCATGGGTGATACACACCCACAATCTTAGCGGCTGGGAGGCTGAGGCAGTAGCACCTGAAATTCCAGGTCAGCCTGGGCTACATGAGTTTGAGGATAGCCTTAGTTTCAGCTTGAGACTCTAAATTCAAAATTGAAGAAAGAAAGGAAGGAAGGAAGGAAGGAAGGAAGGAAGGAAGGAAGGAAGGAAGGATAATCTTTTCAGCAGAATCCTTTACTTTTTGAGTTTCTGACACCCCACCCCCAATGTAGTCTATAGCCCAGGCTGGCTAGGAGCTCACCATGTAGTTTAGGTAGGCTGGCCTCAGATTGATAGAAATCCTCCTACCTGAGCCTCTTAAATGCTAGGATTACAGATGTGAGCCACCACAGCTGGTGTGACTCTTGTTCTTAAGACGTGGTGAGAAGAAACTTGTCCCTAGGATGGAGATCCATCAGAGTGGCTCAGCAACATCTCTTGGAACTGGCAGCCATCAATTCCCTTGGAATGTGGACTTTCAATCAATCTCAAAAAAAAAAAAAAAAAAAAAAAAAAAAAAAAAAGTCCAGAAAGCGAGGCTGGAGAGACGGCTCAGTGAGAGCACAAACTGCTCTCCAGGAGGACCTGGTTTGGTTCCTAGCATCCACATTGACTGGCTCACAACCGCCTGCATCTTCAGCTCCAGGGGTCTCTAATGCCCTCTTCTGACTTCCATGGCCATCCATCATGTGTGCATACATATACACACAAATAAAAATAATTTAAAATCTTAAAGAAATTAATTCTGGTAACAATATCTAACATGCTCTTGTGTGTGCTTACCCTGTGGCCACAGATACACACATGCAGAGGGGTTGGGGCAGGAAGGGGCCGAGTGGGAGGACAGGGAGGGTTGTGACTGTCTGGCCAAGCTAAAGCTTTGATTCCCTAAGGGGGCTTCTCCTTGGGTGTCTCTTGCCTTGTTAGCCATGAACACAGAAGGTCAGAGTCCACCAGGGTGGCCTTCATGACTAAGGACAGAGGACGTGATGCCACAAGCACAGATGAGCACAGGCAGAGACAGTGCATTCGTCTTGCTTGATGCACAGCTTGGTTTTCTTCCCTTAGTCACAATAATTACAGAGACCTCGTCTGCATTAAAAGTGACTCAAGTCCAATACTGACGGAACACCTGAGCCCAATAGACCTGCTTTCCCTTGGGTCTGAACTCAACATCCTGCTCTCTCCCTGCCAGCCTGTGGATTTTTATAGAGCAAACCACAACCCATGAAGGGACCAACCCCAAAGAAACAGGGAACACCCTGGAGGGGGCTCAGGAGATTGCTAAAAAGCATGCCTTTTGCAGAACTGAGCGGGGTCCACAAACACAGTGTGTTATGAAGATGCAGGGGTTTGAGGTGATGCCTTGAGCTGATGAAGGGCAAACGCCATGTGGGAAATGCAGAGCATTCACTGGAAATGTGATGTGAATGTCTGGAAGAGCTGTGTGACAGAAGAACTGTCTCGGCAAAAGCCATGCTCACCTTCCCGGCACCTCACGTAGCTTGCATCTAAGAATCCACTGGGAACATAATAAATAGCTATTGGGAAGTTGAATGCTAGGGAACAGAAATCAACCAATCATCCAGGAGAAGCATTGCAGAGAAAAATCCAGATGAGGATGCAGGGTGGCTTGGGATGTAGGCGGGAAAATGACATGAGGGGCGAGTAGAGAGAGAGAAATTTTCAGTGAAGGAAAGAAAACAAGTATATTTCTAGTATGAAATGTTAGAATTTTCAAAGATTAGGTTTGATAATAGTCTTACATATGAAGCAACTGATGCTTTTTTGTTTTGTTTTGTTTTTTAATCTGTGTTGCTGACATGGAGTTTGAACTTTTTGGTCTGTGTAAAGAGTAATTCAGTATCTAACCTGCCAAATCCAAGGGAGACACATATGTGGCATTATATACACAGGGAAAGGGGATTGCATTTCCCTCACATGCTTTCTTAATTTTACTTTCTGGTAAGGCTAGGTATAAATACGATCACTCAAAGTATCAACAAGTGCTTTTGTAACGACAGCCAGTATTTTATAGTTCTTTGGAGTTAATAACACATTTCTCATAGATTTCGTTGCTCTTTTATTTAGGAGATGCAGTCTCGTGGTCTCATTATGGCCCAGGTTCGACTCAGACTCCCAAGTGCTGGGATTACGGCTGTGTGCTGCCACACCTGGCTCACACATTTCTTACCTTTGGATTCCCACAACACCTTGAGGTCGTGTGATGTAGAGTTCTCCAAGCAAACTCGGCAGGTTAGAATCTCAACTGCCATGTGCTAGCTGTCTAACTTGGGACATAGCTCTTTGACCTTAAGTTTCTCATGTGCAAATTGGAATCAAGACAGCATCTATGTCATAGGGCTGTCAGGCTAGTTAAATGTGTTAACACACACTGAATATTCCAAACAGTGCCTGGAATAGGCCAAGAGTTCCCACAGCTGCCAGCAACGGTGATGGTGCTAGCAGAAATAGGCTCAGGTTGCAGAGAGTAAACTAAGGCTTAATAGAACCACTTAACAGAACAGTACTTTGGTCAAGGCTTGCAAAGTGACCAGAACACTGGCGTCGTACATATTTTAGCTTTCCTCAAACCCAGCTAAACACAAAGAAAACCACAGCAAACTGAGGGAACCAACTTACCGCGTGCGGTCACCTGGATTGACAGCCACTAATGATCCCCTATCCCAAACCCTGTCAAACTTGCCAATATTCGCTCTGCTCAAGAGAGAGGGGAAAGGCTGTTACATTTTGTCTGAAGAAAGGCCAAATCTCAAAACAAGATATCTGTTGTTCCCCAAGGGACATGTTGGGACCTCACCCGTAATCAAGGTGTCAGGGTCGCATGGTGACTTTTCTCTATAGACTTTAGGGGTGTACTGACCTAGTGTGGGGACTGTCCACTTCCTAACTCCTGAAGCAGCTGCCTTGTTTGTTTGTGACTTGGAAAAAGGAGGGAGGGCAGAGGGCTGTTGTAGAAAGCTGTTATCATCAGCCACAAGCTCAAAATAATGACATGGAAACTTATTGTTTACTATGAAAGCCCGGCCTTTAGCTTAGGCTTGTCTCAACCAGCTCCTATAACGTAAATGAACTCATTTATATTAATTTATGTTCTGCCACGTGGTGTCAGCTCTCTCCTATCTTGCACCTCCTGATTCCTCCCTGGGTGTTGCTGGCAACTCTGCCTTTCTTCTTCCTAGAGTTCTCTCTCTGCCTGGAGGCCCCTCCTGTCTAGCCATTGGCCATTTAGCTTTTTATTATACCGATCAGAGCAACACATCTTCACACGGTGTACAAATATCCCACAACAGGCAGTGAATGACAGCTCTGTTCCCCGCCCCATCAGACTCTGTCAGTTACTATATTGCCTCCTGCACCTTGTAATTTGTTTGGTTACAGGCTCAAAAGTGCCAGGTAGAAGACCTGATCTTCCTCTCCCGACCTTTACCTGCTCAGGATTGTCATAATGGTTTTGAAAGTTTGGGAGCTATCCCCATGAAGTGGAAAGATGGAGCTTTGGTAAGAACAACTGCAGGACAACGATTCTCATTGCTACAGAAGTGGACAGGAGTGGCAAACAGATCCCACATCCCACCCCAGCACTCCCTAACAGGGCCCACCCTCATTGACACTATTTATTATTATTATGTGGTGTGTGTGTGTTCATGCACATGCAAGCATATACATACTAAGGTTCATATGTGGAGATCAGAGGACAATGTTCAGGAGTTAGTTCTCTCCTTCTACCATGGGTTTTGGGACCTGAACTTCAGTCATCAGCCTTGTATGACAAGCATCTTTACCCTCTGAGCCATCCTGCTGGACCATGGACCGCCCCTCCCCCCCCACACACCTTATTTTTAAGACAGCATCTCACCATATAGCCCTGTTTGGCCTGGAACTTGCTGTCTAGACCAGGTTGGCTTCCAACTGAGAGATCTGCCTGTGTCAGCACTGTGTTAAGCGTATGCCACCATCCCTTTTTAAATGAAAAAATGGACGGTTCCATGGGTGAAGCGCTTAGCACAGAAGCACAAGGACGTGAGTTCAGGCAGCCAGAACCCATGTAAAAGCAAGACTAGTCTGATACCAGCGCTCCTGTGGCGGGATGGGAGTGGAAACAGGAGAATCCCCACAAGTGTGAAGTCTGGAGTACACAGCGGCATCCTGTCTCAAACAGGGGGTAGACAAGGACGGGCATCTAAGGGTGTCCCCTTACTGCTGCTCAAACATATACTCACACTCTCACACAACATGGTGCAGGTGGAGCACTCAGTCACACAGATAAACACACACACATGCGCTCACAAACCCTGCTCATGCTTTCACACACATTCACTCTTACATGCTCACACATTCACATTTACTCACACACACTCATTCACTCTCTTGAACACACATACTCACACAATGGTGCAAAGGGGTCGCTCAGTCGCACAAACACACACCCACTCACACTCACACGATGGTGCAGACAGAGTACTCAGTCCTACCTGGGAAGATCAAAAATGCTGCAGCAGTACAGAGAAATGCTCCCGGAAGAACTCTGCAGAGAAACAACGTAAGACATTTTTTAAGTGGTCAAGGAAAGGAAAACAGGGCTCAGACAAAGTGGAGGAGATAGAGGGAGCCCACACTAAACACAGTAACTTTATTGGAGTTTAACTATAACATGTTTCCTTTTAAAAACCTGGATGGGGGCCAGCCAGGTGGCTCAGAGGGTAAGGCTGCAGCCAAGCCTGACAACCTGGGTTTAATCCCTGGCCCTACGTGCTATGGGAGAACTGACAAGCTGAACTCTAACCTCTCCATGTGCACCATGACATGTGCATATGTGTGTGTGTGTGTACTGCCATCTATATATTTATTACTAATATCCATTTAGCTATTATTTATCATCTATGCATCAAACTATCATCTATATGTTTGGTTCTCATTCTAACATTTATCTTTACTATTTATCTATCATCTTTTGCTTTGGGACAAAAGTCTCACTCTGTAGCCTAGGCTAGCCTTGAAGTCATGATCCTCCTGGCTCTACACCCCCCGCAAGTGCTGAGCTGGCATCTGTACACTGCAGCCGTAGCTCACCGCAGAAGATAACACGTATGTAACAGGTGGTAAAGAGCAGCCATTTGACACTCGTTTAACATCTTAAGTACTTGTGAGGAAAAAAAAGTCATTTTCTGGCGAGGCACAGAAATAATTAGTTACCACAATTAATACAAACCTTAAACACTTTGGCACCAGCAATTTCATTGAATGGTTCCTCTGTATACGAAAGATTCTGCTCTGCGAAAAATTCCCGAATCCCAATTTCACTGATGTCTACGCCAATTACAGTGTGGCCCCGATCCGCAAACCTGCAGACAACACAGTTCCACTTTAGCTGTACTTCACATACAGCACCAGATAAAAGCCACAGTAAGCACACGGCCCCTCTGGCTGGGAACAGTAACCAGCATCCCCGCCACGCCTGAGGATCTGTGCTGAAAACATGTCACCAGAAGCAATGAAATAACAAAAGAAAACAACTCCATCTTTCCCTCAATTTGAAGGGATTCATAGTTTCACAGGCATTTCTATAAACATGTTTGACTGGAGGAAATGCTTGCCAGTCCTCCAAATCAGCACTGTCTATTTATGCATTCTCTGTGATGATGGATATGCCCATCTCTGTTCTGCACCAGAGTCACTGGCCACACTGGCTACTGTGCATCTGGGATGTGGCCAGTCCCATATAAATAATTTTAAGTTTTAATTTGGCTTATATTTAAATAGCCAAGTCTGGCATGATGTTATACCACCGATTCCAGTACCGAGGAGGCTGATGATCTTGAGTCTGAGGCCACACTGGACTATACAGCAAGACTCTGTTTCAAAATTGGAAAAAAAAATATCATTTAAATGAATTTTTTAAAATTGCCATGTGACTAGTAGTTACCATACTAGAATGCAAGCGTGAGGTATTTTGTGTATTTTTTGGTACTAATCCTATAATTTCCATTTATTAACATTAATCATGATTGGAAAAATGAATCTTATTACCATATGCAAATAGACAATAAGCTCAATGGTTACATGTTTTTGAGGATCTTAACCAGTAGCAGAAATCTTAATCAGGAAAACAATAGCAGGTGATGGGGATGTTCTTCTGTATATATGTTTTTCTTATTGGTTGATGAATGAATTACTGATTGGCCAGGCAGGAAGCCCCAGGGGTGGGGCTATAAGAGGAGAGAGACCAGGAAAGAGTCGCCGTGTAGACTGGGAGGATAGGATGCACCAGGCATTCTCTGGTAAGGTGAAACCACGTGGAAATACTTTGATTAATAGAAATGGGTTAGTAATTTTAAGTCAGAGCTAGCCAATAAGAAGCCCTAGCCATTGGCCAACATTTTAATAATTAATATAAGTCTTTGTATGTTTATTTGGGGCTGAAGCAATGGCAGGACCAGTCTGCCTTCCAGCTACACCTTTGTGAGCTGGGCATGGGGGCACAGGCTTGTAATTCCAGCACTTGGGAAATAGAGGCAAGAAGATCAAGAGTTTGAGGTCAGCCACAGTTATATAACAAGTTTGAGACTAGTTTGAGCTACAGGAGGCCCTATCTCAAAGGTCCACAAAGGGGGCTGGAGAAATAACACAGTGGTTAAGAGCACTTGCTGCCCTTGCAGAGGACCCAAGTTCAGTTCCCAGCACTTGTATCAAGTGACTCACAATGGCCTGTAACTCCAGCTCCTGGGGATCTGATGCCCTTTCCTGACCTGCAAGGGCAACAACACTCATGTTCACACACCAGCCAACAGATACATAAATCTTTAAAAAACGCAACACAAGCAAAAACTAGGAATGAGTAAGGGCTCAATGGGTAAAGTGCTTGCTACAGAAACACGAGGACCTAGGTTCAGATCCCCAGCATCCACGGACAGCCAGGCATGGTGCTGACAGGCAGACAAGCAGATCTCTGGAGCCTGTCCACAGACTCCAGGTGCAGTCTTTAAAAATAAGGTGGAGAACAATAAAAGAAGATGCCTTGTGTGGACTTTGGATGTGAATCTGCACATATAAGTAAACACACACACACACACACACACACACACACGGAGATAGAGAGAGAGAGAGAGAGAGAGAGAGAGAGAGAGAGAGACCTGTCAGTGTCACAACTGAATAAATAGTAAAATGGGGCACTGCCCTCTGTTTCAGAAGGTGGGTGTCAGAAAGAGTTCTGTTTGAAGTCATGGGATGAGGGAAACTGAATGGGAAGTTTCTAACACCAAGGGTACAAAGGAAAAGCTGGGCCCAGAAGTAAACTGAGGAACCAGGGCACTGTTTGAACAGCACACGTGGATTTAGTCTGTTCATACGCTGCTTAACTCATCATGGCAGAGGTTGGCTTTTAGAAGACATCTTCTGCAGATGAAATCACAGGTGACCAAAGGTGAATGTCACATGATGTTCCAACCATTCTCTCATATATTAACTGAGAATGAAAGGCACATTTCAAAACAAGAACAAGATGGACTGTGCCTATTATTTACACAAGAGTGCATGCTCCCAACGCTGGCAGAGCATGGGCTATTTATAGTTCTAAAATGAAATGTACTAATAATTTGTCTTTCATACTGCCCAGAGAATGTGTACTCTAGCATGTAGAGACTATTTTTTTTATTCTGCATACATATTTTTGAAGTTACAAAATATATGCAAAGGAGTTAACCAAACCGTATGCATATATTATTTCCCAGTCAACACATACAACATCACCTAGAATACAAATAAGGCAAAAGTGATACCCTAAATTTCCTATTTCACTTTAATGCTTTTTGGACCCATTCCTAGTTAGTTCATCTGCTCATATCTAATGCACATACATAGGTCAATTACATGAGGGAAAATTTCTCTAATATGAAAACTTACATGCAATTACAGTAGTTTTTATTTCGATTCTTATTATTATTTTGCAGATTTGGGAAATGAAGCCTGAGCCTGTAGATTCTAGGCAAGGATTCTCCCACTGAATTACATCACCAAACTTCAACTTCTTTTTTTGTTGCAAATGGATTGAGACCCCCAAAATATCCAATAACCCCCCCCCAGCTAGCTATACAGTTTCAATGTTGCCTAAAATCTCTGCTGCAGCCACAGAATTATCATTTCTGTTTATAGAGCTGTTTTCTCATAGGCAGTTTGTGAAGTCACTCTTTTTTGGTGAGACCCCATTAAAATGTGGTCTAATAAGAGATATAATTCTTAATTTCATGGCCACACTTGAATCTCAGGTTATAACAAATTTTATTTGTTAATTTTTTATTTATGTGTATGTCTCTGTATGGTGTGTGTGTGTGTGTGTGTGTGTGTGTGTGTCCACAGAGGCCAGAAGAGGGTGTTACTGGTGGTTGTGAGCCACCTGATGTGGGTGCTGGGAATTGAATATGAGTCCTCTGAAAGAACAGTAAGTGCTCTTAACCACAAAGCCATTTGTCTCGCCCCCAAACAGCCATTTAATATATGCTCTTAGCTACAAGTTGAGACAGTGTGGGCTGCAAAAATTTTACTCTCTCTACTGGACAATAAAATCCAAATGCATATGTTTTGTGGGTAAATCACTGGCATTTACATGAGGGGGGCAGATGATTATAAAGCAAGTCTTTTACACCAATATTTTGTTCTTTCCAGCCTAATGATAGATAGAAGTTCTCAATATTTACATTTTTTAAGCAAATATACATCTTAGAGGATGTGTTTGTGGCTGTGCATTATCATGACAGCAGTGTTTTGTGCAAAAAAAATAATTTCTGGTCTTGTGACCTGGGGTAACCCTGTGGTAATGGTGGCTTGTTAACTAGAGTGAATTCTTTTTGTGAGGACTGCTTACAAGAGTTACTCTCCTTACCACTGATTTTTATAACAGTGACTCACAATAACAAAAAGTCCTATTTGTTCGTGGGAGGAAGGCAGAGTTGAGCTGAACTCTGGACTACAAACACTGTTCTGCTGAAAGCTTGTATTATAATTTGTGTTTTTCTGTTACCTTCCATTTCAAACATCCATAGCTACTGAACTTTCTAAGCTACTTATAGACATTAAATCACATACAAAGATCCAGGAGATATGAAAAAGGAGGCTAGTGTTCCCCGGTGTTGGTTCCAAATTAATTCACCCCCTAATTGTGAACATCATAGGTGTGTACCATCACCCTTGTTTTAAGCAATGCTGGGAGTGGAACCCAGGGTCTCGTGCCTGCTAGACAAGTGCTCTACCAATTGTACTAAATCCCCAGGCCTCCAAACTTTTTTTTTTTTGGCCTAGAAAACAAAATACAGAAAGACAAGGTCATGCTTGACTCAGTTTGCACCCCTGTTACTTGGAAATAGTATCTTTAATTTTATACATACTACAGCATCTGCCTAAAAAATAAAGATATTCTTGTATTTGAGAATGGGATTTTGATGCTGATTTTGTATGTTTGTTTGACTGGCTGTTTGAGACAGGGTCTCACCTAGCCCAACAGCCCTTGAACTTGTATGTAGCCAAGGCTGGCCTTGAATTCCTGGTCCTCTTGCTGCCACCTCCCAACTACTATTACGGGTGTGTCCTGCCACACTTCATTCTGAGAATGTGTCTTTCCCCCCCCCCCCCCCCGCTTTTAATTTAACCTGTTAAATATTCACCCCCAATACAACTCTACAACAACTACTTAATGCTTACCATTTCATCTCAACTGCTTTTCCACAGAGGGGGAAAAACACTCTCAGTCCACTCTGGCCTTTAAGAAATGTATCCAAATGCTTCTTTAATAGCCTGGGGAGAAAAGGTTTCCACAATGCTTGTTTTAATTAGCCCAATGCAAAGGAGCAGGACTAAGAACTTCTCAGGCAGTAGTCAATGCTCCCAACAATGTAACAAGAATGTAATGTTACTTATTACATACAACCTCCAGTTTACACTTAAAGGAAGAGGGCAACTAAGGAACTTGCTTCATTATGTAGCTACTTAGTATTAAATATGATTGACAACCTGAGTTTTTATGAATGGGAAGTAACTTCTTGTGCTTCCTTGAGTGATACATTTGGAAAAGTCTGTCCCATTCACCACATTTACACTCTTATTTTTTGTAGTTTTCGAAAGTGATGTTATGAAGGTGCTCTCTGGCCATATACTTTTTCAACACTTCACAGAACAGCCTCTTCAATGAACTTAACTCTTTTTAAATTTTAATTAAATTAATTTAGTGTGTGTATGTGTATACATTTGTGTCACATCTTTGTCTGACCTCCATGTTTGGATGTCAGAGAACAACTTCCAAGACTCAGTTCCCACTTTCCATCATGTGGCTGTTGGGGCTGGTGGCAAGTGGCTTCCTCTGTTGAGCCAGTTTGCAAGCCTTCACCCTTGCTTTTAAACATTCGAAGACACAAGCGTAAATGTGGCTTTAGCATTTGCTGCATGTGTAAGCACCATAACCAAAGCATGGGTGGTTCTTAAAAAGAAGACGCATTTCATTAATCGAAGATGTCATCGTCCATAAGTCATATCATACACAATGAAAGTAAAAAGTGCATTGCTAATTACAGTATGGTGTGCCATGGAAGCTTTCTGATTTCTGAGAGGCTGTATAATGTGAGATGATTACAGTGAAAATAAATCCAAAAATATATATTTGTGTATTACTTTTAAAGTCAGTTTCTTTCTTTTTCCCTTTCCTTTCCTTTTCTTCCTGAGACAAAGTCTCATAGAGCCAGGCACCAGCCTCAAGCTCACATATGTAGTTTCAACTTCTGATCCCCCTGCTCCCATTTCTCAAATGCTATTACAGGGATACACCACCCATGCCCAATTTTATTCAGTGCTGCAGATCAAACCAAAAGGGTCCTGCATGCTAAGAGAGCTCTCTACTAACCGAGGCACATAATCCCCACTACTCTACCCCAGTTAATGTCTAATGAAGCATTTCTCTGTCAGAGAACAAACGTGTCTTACTGATGCCCTTGTTCTTGATGAAATCCAATGTTTCGGGTCACCCATTTGTCTTGCCATTCTTCCAGGCTTAGTACTCGGTTCTCCTGCACTTCAGAATCAAAGTGCTCTGTCACATCACATGGAGTTGTATTTGCCATAGTTAGTAGGCAATTCTTGTCTCAGAGGCTGCTGTCTCCGGTGCCTAAGTGGAAAAATATCTGCCATGATGTCATTCAGGAACTGTAATTCTATTGATGAACTATACAAAACTCTTTTACCTGTGGAAACAGCTTTTTAAAAATATATCAACAGCAAAACCAGGAGTGGTGTCACATGCCCCCAGTACTTGGGAGACAAATTAAGAGGGTTGTTGCAAATTCCAGGTCAGCATGGTCTATATAGTGGGTTCCAGGCCAGCATGGTCTATATAGTGGATTCCAGGCCAGCCAAGGCTACATCGCAGGACCCTGTCTCAAAAACAAACAAAATAGGCATGGTGGCATATATCTTTAATCCTAGCACGAGGGCGGCAGAGGCAAGAGGTTTGCTGAGTTTCAGGCCAGTCAGGGCTACCGTGAGACCTTGTATCAAAACAACCAAACAAACAAAAAAACCAAAACCAGCCAAACAAAACAAAACCCTATTTTCAACATCCAATAAACCATACCAAAAATTAGATTTCAGTGAGTCTAGGACTAAGAACACTTCATTGTTATATATCAGGAAAGATGTCTTAAGAGAACAGCCTGCACCCAACCCTACAAGCTTGCAGATGTAATGAGGAGTAGAAACCCAGCTGTAAGAAGGTAACAAAAGGAGCCTGCAATTTTAGCTTTTTCTAAACCTGAAATCCAACCAACCAATGTCCTAGTTTCGCTCCCATTCCCACCTCTGGGAGTAGTATTGTTAAGATGGAGGGTTCAGGGAGTCTGAACTGCCAATAGTCATCCATTGGTTGGCTCCACGGCTAGATCAGAATTCAGCTTGTTGAACCTGTTAAGTCCTTTACCAGCAGTCCTCTGCTTTCTGGGTCCTTACCTGTCCTTCCTTCAGTATGGTTGCTGCATTTAAAAAATCCTAACATTTGATAGGGCTTTAGGAGGGAGAAAAAAAAACATACATGGATTCAATATGTCATCTCTGCAAAATTTGTATTTTCAAGTAACTTTCTCATAGCTTTTGGAAGGTGCCGAAGATTGAACCTGTGGGTTCACACATTCCAGACAAGCACTATGCCACTGAGTTATATGTGAGAGCATGCACAAGAAAGGAACTGAAGAGGTAGGAACTTCGTGTACCTGCAGTTGCAGAGTGAGGAGGTGTCTGCACTTCCAGTATTAAGGGCAATATAATACAATTCTGGAGGCTAGAGAGATGGTTCAGTGGTAAAGAGCACTTGTTCTTACAAAGGTGCAATTCCCAGAAACCACATGGTATCTCAAGAGGGTCTGTAACCTCAGTTCCAATGGATCTAGCAAGCATGTGTACATGGGAAGTCAGGCATACAGGGAAGACATTCGTTCACATAAAGTAAAATAAATAAAAGAAAAGAAAAATTTCCAGAATTTCTGACCTGCTTTAAATCACTGGTGATCATAAGACTTGAATGTAATGCTTTTATTTGTGAAACAGAAAACATGCCACAAAATGGCAGTTTAAGGAAATGTCCTTTTGTTGCATGATTTAGATTCTACATTTAGGATAAAGGGACACCCCATTAACTATGGAAACAAAAATGCACTTCACAGCAAGTATTACTAACAAAAGGCCTTTACCAGGTCCTGATGTCAGGGGGCAAAGCCCAGAATTGTGAAAGGTCAGCAGGAAGTGTGGAATTATTGTGGATACAGAAAAGCAAGGTAATTGTTTTTTCCTGTCTCTATTTTCTACCATCAGAAACTATGGTTTAACCCAAAGCTGCCTTCAGAAAGAAGTGCTCTTCTGAACACAGAATAAAGCATAATCTTTACCCTGACCAGCTCTATAGCTCTCACTGAATCTGGGACTGAAAAGTGTCATGAATACAAACACTTAGCTGTAGAAACAGTGCCTCAATGTGGTGTTCCCTGTTCATTTCTGGAGAAACAAAATTCTGAACACAAAGTGCAAAGTACAAGGATGAGAAAAGACGAACCCACAATAGTTTCCTCTCATAAACATTCACTTCCTGTATGCTCTTTGATCCAAGACCTCCACGCCTAAAATACACTTGTTTCTACTTTAGGGTTAAAAAAAAAAACAACCAACCAAAGGGGGGGGGGGGAAGGCAGAGGGTCTGTCTGGAATTCACTATGTAGTCTGGGCTGTAGTTCCTCCTGCCTCAGCTGTCTCCTGCTGGGTTACAGGTCCGTATCATAAGGCTGCCTCCGCTTTAGTTTTAAACTTTTAAATTTTGTTAAACTATAAAATAACTTCACTAAAGTCCACAGAGCTCGAGTATGGCTCAGGGAAGTATTTTTACATTTGGACATGCGTCAACTGAAGCACATCACTAAGTAGGGGGGTCTTTAATTCATACACTGGACTCGAAGCATTTGCATTCTCATCTCTTCCTAGGTTTTGCGGCCTCCCGAAGCCCCTTTTCGGGACACGGGTAGCTGTCAGCCGGCTTTTCACACACCCATTCTGAAGAACACTGTAAGTCATAGCGAAACCACTGCCTTTCTCGCCGCTTGGGAACTTACCTCGGCTGTACCCAGGGGCCTTCCTCAGACCCCAGCCTGCCCTTCTGTCTGCAACTAGCCTGAGCTGTGCAGACACTCAGGCCCCGCCCCAGGGGCGAAGACCCCGCCCAATATGGACAGGCCACACCCCGGACACGACGTCCAGTCTCCAGTCCTCTAGGCCCTGCCCCGGAGTGAGAACCGGTCCAGAACGCGCAGACGCCTGGGCACGCCAGACCACGCCCAAGACTCTCAGGCCCCGCCTAGGTCGTATTGACCCCGCCTCTGGCACAAAGACCCTGCCCCGCCCAGTAGGGCCCCGCCCCCAAGCCAAAGCCTCGGCCCCCTCCCCTCCGCGGAAGGGTTCCACCCAGAGCGCGTAGGCCCCGCCCTCGCAAGCGCGGAGTTTGCGCAGTGGCGGAAATGGCCGGGGCGGGGCGAGCGCCCGGACCCTCCCACTCCCTGGGCCTGCGAGCTGCGAGCTCCTCCCACTCCGGGTCACGCCGTGATAGGGGCGGAAGCGGCGGCGGCCGAGCTGTTGCAGCTGCTGGTGCGGATCCTGCCGTCCTGTGCAGCCCGGGGCGGCCTGCGCCGCCTGGCCAGCGCTCTGAGGTAGGCACTGGCGGCTTCGCGGGCGCGCCCGGGGGTGGCGGCGGGTTTCGGGTGACAGCGCCGCACAAAGCGGCCGGCTGTGGGGCGAGCCCGGGCGGGAGGCGCGCGCGTTCCCCGCGGCTCCCCGGCGTCCCGCGTCTGGAAGGGGTGGCGCGGGGGACCCGGTGCGAGCCGGGGCTTCCCGCCCGCGCTGGCCTGCGGGCTTTCCCCCTCGCCGCTGTCTCCGAACCCTGCGGGGAGCGCTGGCGCCTCGGCCGGCCGGAGGTTGAGTTGGGGCGGCGGCTGCACCTGGCAGGCTGGCGCCGTCTCCAGACCCAAACCGGAGGAGGGGACCACAGGCTGGGTTTCCAGCCGAGGCTGTGGGAACCCCGCAGCCGGGAGGAGGGGCCTCACGCTGGGATCCCACCCAGGGCCGTAGGAACCCTCCGCACGGGCTGTAGGGACCCCGTAGCCTGGAAGAGGGACCCCACGCTGGGTTCCCACTCGGGGCCGTGGGAGCCCCTCAGCCGTGAAAAGAGACTCTAGGCGGCGTTGCCACTCACGGCCGTGGGGAACCCCGTAGCCGGGAGGAGGGACCCTAGCCTGGGCCGTGGGAACCCCGCATCCAGGGGGAGGAACTCCAGACTGCCCTCCCCACGCAGGGACCCCCACGGCAGGAGGAGGGGCCCCAGGCTTCCCTTTCCACTCTGGGCACTGGGGAGCCCCGAGCCTGGAGGAGAAACCCCCGCACTGGGCTCCCATCCGGGGCAGTGGGCCGCCCCGCGGCCAGGAGGAGGGACCCCCCCCACGCCAGGCTCCCCACCTGGGGCAGCGAGGCGACGGTCGGGTTTGCAGGTGTAGCGGGTACCCTGCGCAGCTGCCCAGAGAGCTCCCGGGGTGCCTCCCCTGGGATGCACACTGCCCAGTCGGGTCCGGGTGACTGTTAGTCCTCAGTTGGCACGTGAGCGAGGAAGGCAGAAGCAGGCCCAGCTGCACAAAGTTGGGGCTGAGTGATCTGGAACCTAACCGCGGAGGCCCAAGTCCTTGAGCACACCACAGACCACGCCTGGTGTGGGGAATCCCTCAGTGAACACCGGCACAACTCAAGGGGTTGGCTAGTCGCCCACGCCCCAACTCACAGCAGTCCTCCTGCCTCAACCTCCCTGCTGGAATACAGAGCCGCCATATCTGCTTTGAATGTTTACAAAAACATATTGTGGTGAAAGCCTTTCTGAGGCTTCCTTCTGAGGTTACATGAGAGAATTCCCATTAATAAATTGTCTTCCAGACAGGGAACAGTCAAGAGAAGACACGAGGCAATAGGGAATTCAGAACTGAATTATTGGTTTGAGTATTCGGTATTAAATTATAGCACTGGTCCATACTTCAGAAACTCAGATTGACATGGGAATATGAAGTGCCCGGCTTGCTTATTTTAAGTGACCCAAGGGGATTCAGTTTGTTAATGAAGAAGTTTCTAGGAGCTTGCATTGTTCTTACAAATAACACTGCCTCTGCCATGAATTTTTAATCTATTTTGCATTCTTTTGAATTCATGTTTTTATGAATTATACGGTGGGTGCTTAAACTCTTGAATAAGCTACATTCAGAACACCTGGGAGTTATTTAAACAATTCTAAATACTGACATATTTCACTTGTATATTTTCATCTTTTTTTTTTTTAACAAAAGAAAACTAAGTCTCTGCATTTAAACTTAGGAGGAAAAAGGCTTCTAAACTATTGGCCAAATCCTATTTCATTGGGTGTCTTTGTGTGGTGCTTCCCAGCTGAAATCCCAGCATTCTGGAGACAGAGTCAGGAGGATTGCCAAGAGTTAAAGAGTAGCCAGGGCTCCGTGTAAAACCCCCATGCTAACCGGGAAAGCAGGTGCAAAAGCATTCATTATACTTGTCTGTTTTAATAACACTTTATTTCTAAGA